TTATCGCTCTCTCCTAACGAGTGTGAGATGGGAGCCTGTGGGCACCGCCACAGCACAGCTTGTGTTGGCTCCTAGGGTCTCCCTGTTAGCTCCTGGACAAGTTGGGAATATTTTTTTTCTTTAAATAAGGGAGTAAAATTTATTCTGTTTCTCTTCCCTGCTGAGGTGCTTTCTGTCATGAGTTTGATGCGTTACGGTCTTTGTTGCCCGTGGCTTTGCAGAGCCTGGTCTAGGGACGTTGGCTGGGTTAAAGCCCATGAGATATGGTGTGGGGACAGCAGCGTCACCAACCTTCGCAGGCGAGCAGCACCTCCAGATGTGGTGCTGAGTGATCTACCCAAACCCAGACCATCGGCTTTTGTCATTGCTATTTCTTTATTAATTTATTCCCTTTCCTTGGTTGGGTGGAGAAGAGGAGCTGATTTCTGAAAGGTGCCACTTACTCTTCTTTTCTTTCCAAAATTGGCTTCGGTTCAATTAACGACTTGGGCGAGAGGCCGCCTGGGCTGCAGGACGCAATCCGAAATCCTCGCTTCGCCTAAAGGCTGCTGCCACCTCCTCCCCGTCTCGCCCCCTCGCCCTGCGATACCAGGGCGATACCCTCGATGCCAGGGTGATGGCCGCATCGCCTGGATGCTAGCGGGAGAGGGGCACGTGTCCACACACGTTAATTTGGGATTGCTGCAGCCCTTGGATTAATGAAAGCAGGATCTGCCCGTCCGGGCGGGCGCCGCGTGGAGCGGGGTTCTCTCCGCTCTCTGCCGATACCCGTTTTTTTTTCTCGTCTGGTTTTACACCCAGGGCCGTGACAATCTAACGACCTTTTCGTTGTAGCACCGCAAGCGGAGACGAGTGCGGCGGGGACTCCCGCATCCCAGAATAGTTTTCCTCCAAGATCATCCTGTCCAAGCCTCTCGTCGCATCTCGCTTTTTGAAATAATCAGCCCCCGTGGTTATTTCAGTTAACGCTAATTACTGGCATGAACTAATTAACGTGGGTTGACTTTCCTCTTCTCTTTCTAATGCTTTTTTAACCCGCTGACACATTCCAATTAAGGGACTCACGCAGGGACCGGACTGAAATGACTCAGAGCAATCACAGTTGGAATAAATCATGGGCTTTGCTGAAGGTCGCTCATGTTTTTTCAAATTGCCGGTGTTGGGGACTGGTGCCTGCTGACAGGGAGATGACCTGACCGTACAATAAGCATCTGGAATATCTTCAAGTTTGCCTCCGTTTCGGTGCAGGCAGATTCACGGGTACCACGTCGATGGCATCTGATGTGCTGAGAACGGTGGCACTGAAAAAGGTCGCTGGAGGCGTCTCGTCAGGACTGCAGGTCTTGAGGCAAGTGGCCTTGACCTTGCAAGGACCTCGCTTGTTCGTAGCTGTGTGATGGCGATGGGGGGCACGGGCTGGATGCTTCCCGCTGCTCGTGCTCGCACAAGTGATTTCTTTTCCCCTTGGTTGGGTTATTGCGACTGGCGGAGCCCTGCGGGCTCT